ATGAGAATCCTTCCATCTCACCAAATCCCAAACCTCCCTCCCATCGGGTGCTTATTACCTGGGAAGAAAACCTTAAGCCTCCCTGATGAAACAAAAAATATTCATAGTTAAAAACCAGTCGCTCTTAAAAAGCTTCGAACAGGTAAAGATTTGCGAAGTCGTTTTCTAGTACAGTGCTCTTGATTTCTATGCCTTTGTGGACTTTGGTTTTTTTTTTTTTACACTTTGAGAAGTGTTTCTTTACGGAGAAGTTTTCATTGTTCATGTGTTCTCTTACACGATCGTCGATAAAGCGTGTCGTGCTGCCAATGTGGTGTTGATTGCAGTCGTAACACGTGATTTGATAAACAACGTTTCTTGGTAAGCCCAATTTGGTGCCTGAGAGATAGGGCAGTCGTCCCTTGCACATGTCCGTAGGCCATTCCGTGTTGTTATGAGAGAGTGCTCGTTAGAGGATGTATAACTTGTGCGCGTGACACGTACTGGTCTGCCCTCTTTTCGGAAAATGTTACTGATCTTGTAGTTAAGTAGTTCGGAAATATACGGGATCTTCAGGTTCGGCCATTCTTGAGGATTTTTTTTTTATGATAGTTCTGAGGGTGCCTCGTTTGGTCAATATATTGATTTCATGATCAGTATACCCTTCAAGACAGAGGATGTCGTCAAACATGTTTTCGGTGATGCTTTGTGGGTGTCGCTTTTGTAGGGCATTTTTTTCAGGTCTGATTTTCGCTATTGCATAAATAGCGCTCTACTGCGAGGATCGTGCATCATACGTAGAGCATTTATCTTCGATACGTTTCTGCTCCTTACGAATGAACTTAATCTTTGTCTTTTTCAGTATTGTTTTTTTTTCTTTTTTTTTTTTTTGTAAAATTCGAAAGAGCTTTTGTTTGCCGTCTCTGGACTTTGAAATCCAGTTGTGAGGTAGTGAAAGTCCATTGGGTTTTATTTCTGGTTTCTCACTGAGTTAGTGCAGACTGTTCATTGTTTATCTTTATAACTACCTAGAAGCCCCCACGTATTTTCTGTGGGGACTTATAGGTAGTTATAAAGAGATAGATGGCGATGATATGGTTTCCAGTCTGTCCATGAATAGCGTGGCCAGAATGCCTGAAATGTTAGAACCCAATAGGTAGGTCTTTTTTGGCGGATAACCTGACCATTCAAGGAGAAGTACATGTTGTTTAGCGTAACTGCGAGAAGTTTTTATGTCTCATTTTGCGCAGGTGAAGTATTGAGCTGTGAATTCCATCGGTAGCATTGGTGATAGCATCTTGTATGGGTATTGAAGTATATAAGGATACCACATCGAGGTGGCATGGATATGGTAGCGTTTTGTTGGTGGTGAAATCGCCGGCTTCGATGCACTTGATGAGCTCGAGGCTGTTTTCTAAATGTGCCGGGACGTCCATCAGCTTTGGATTACGGGCGTTGGCGAGTAACCATGGGTGTGTTAGGTTGGATGCGCTGGGTTGGTCCATCGGTGTTAGCATAGTTGGTAAAGGTCGTAAGTTAATATCTGGACCAGTTTTGTGGATCTTGATGCGATGGTAGAACCTGGGTAAAGCTTTAATTAGCAAAAGAACAAGGAAAATCGTTCGGTAGGCAGATATTTTTCCAATTTGAGTTCACTTTGTTCTCGACTGTTTTTGGCCGACATGTGGGGCACCTTTTGACAGGTGTAGGTGTCACTGAGCTGAGCTAGGGCGACTCGTATGTACGTGTCTTGCTGCCTTACACAAAGTTCTGTACCTTTATCGCTCGGGAGGCAGGCCGGGTGAGTTGTAGTTCTTCTCTTTCAGTTCTCAGGGCATTGCTTTCTTGTCTGCGTGGCTGATGTTCGACCACTCTTTGGGATTGTAGTTCCTTAGGTGTGACTTGGAGTTCGTGGTGGATCTTCTGGAAATTGCTTTCAATTTCCTCTTTGGATTCGAGTTTGTAAATGTACCGGGATTGTGAATAAGTGAGGAAGTCTGAGGGTTGAAAATTTGATTCGCGGAAGAGTTTCCAACAGGTTTGGTTGGCAAGTCGATAGAATGCTCCATTGATACCCCGTGATCGTGCGTTCGAGGCTGAACTTGGGGCCTTTGATCTCCTGGTCGTTGAGCTTACCAATGAGGTCGGCGACCAGATTGGCTGTGTTTGTGGTGACGTTGTTTGGGTTCGAATTAGTATCCTTAGGGTCGGTAGCTGTACTTGTTTGGTCGGATAAGTTATTGGGACTTTCCGAGATGTTGTTCCAATGGCTAATTTAGCATATCCAAAGAGACTCTTTGCACATTGTCTCTTGCTCATTAGATCAATTTATCGGCTTTTGATTTATATTTGTACTTTACTATCAGTTATCTTAAACATTTTGCTCCCTACATTTTTTCACACGTTTTTACTTTACGTTTGTATTTAAGCCTTACGCAGAATAAATATATATATATAGCATTAGCACTGCACTGATGAGGCCCAGAAGGCCGAAACAGTACTGTCTGCAGTTATATATATATATATATATATATTTATATATATATAAATTCATACAAGGGAAACCCTGACCCTGTACACCCCAAATAATCATACTTAAATAGAATAAATGTTTGAAAAGAAAACAGTAAACAGTAAACAGTACTGTCTGCAGTTAGTTATATATCTATATACATATATATATATATATATATATATAGGAAGTCTGTAAGTCGATTTTCGCGTGGAACAGTGCTCAATACGTTGAAGCAGAGCAGAATAAATATTATGAGAGGAAAAAAGGACGTAACTACATTTCCCGACAAGCCTGTTTCGTGAATCGCTTCACTCTTAAACCCCTGAAGAGTGAAGCGATTCACGAAACAGGCTTGTCGGGAAATGTAGTTACGTCCTTTTTTCCTCTCATAATATTTATTCTGCTCTGCTTCAACGTATTGAGCACTGTTCCACGCGAAAATCGACTT